AGTACCCTAAAATTCATGCAATTCTCGTGCACGCATGAATCTCATGGAATCTTGATTGTTTTAATTTACCCTAGTCTTCTATCGCTAAGCTTTTACCTATTTATGATAAGCGTAGACTCGCGAATAGGTACGCCAACACTAAAATCGCGAGACTTTTGGGCGATCTTTTTCTATGTCCGTGAAATGAAATAGTCCAGAGCGAATCAAAGTGCATAAAAGCAATGATTGCTCGATTCTTATCGAAACCGACAACTCTCTCTCTATCTTATTATCTGAGTTTTGATACTCGAGAGTTCTATAGAGGTAAAAAAATTTCTGATGGTGAATCTATGCATTATCCTCTAAGACTGACCTAATTAGCATTTCAAATAATTTAATGTGCTTGCATGCGATGTATTTATCTAGAGATCACCATGTCTTTCTAACAAAATAGACTAGGAATATCCAAGCTTGCCAAAATAAGTTGAGAGAAAAAATGGGTCCAAGCTAAATTATGGTCTCAATATGAACCCAAAAATCTGTTACCAAATTACTCCGAGGAATAACATACTCAATATGAACATCATACGTATGATCTACTTTTTCTTTACCTAAAATTATCTGAAGGATTGACCTAATGCTCGCGTACCCTATCAATATGCAAGAGGTTGTAAGTTCGATCCCTATCATCTCATTCCCTTTGTAATACCTATCAAACCCTAAAACCACACTGAATGAGAGCTACATCATTTGCTTTATTTTACTTCTTTTTTTTCTTGGTTTTTGTTTATGTATATTACATTAATGACACATTAATATTTTTTTGTGGGTATTGAAAGGCCTTTTTTTTTTTGTCCAGTCATACTCTAATTCTCAATTCATTGTCAAACTTTTGCCATATCTCCTTGCAGAGTGTGAGAGTCGAACTCCACACCTGAAACTAAACGTTCCCACCCCTAACGCCCCTGAGAATGTGGGGATTCGAACTACCCACCTTCCCTTTCTCATGTGGAAATAGTGGCCACTAGGACAACCCCGGGAAATCATTCTTAGTCTGTCCCCTCCATTTTCATGGCCCTTGCAAGTCCACCGCCATCAATTTTTCACGTACTTGTGGAAAATTTAATTAATTGGAAAAAAATAAAACGAAAAGAAGACACAAGAGATGGCCATAAAAAATCAATTATTATTTCTTGACCATTACTTTGACTTTTTTGAGAATACGAATAATTTCTTTTCTGAAATGTTACTTTATTCAAATCATGTTAGTACATTTCTCGATACCGGGGAAATTACAATCGCCTTTCAAGTTAATTTTAGTTAAATTGTTTTTTAATCAATATGAGGATTTTTAATCAAAATCGGGTAGTTGGACGAGCGAAGCCGTGGACCGTTTTAGAACCGACCGGAGCGAAAGGCAAGATGGGCCGACTCGGATGAACGAAATTGCTCTCGGGCTTGATTTGCCCACTTTGGCCGGTCCAAGCCCGGTCAAACTCACGTGAAAAAATTTATTACTTCTTGAATAACGGGAGAGATTTTAGGCTCGACTTGCCCCATCAATCGAATTCCCTCGATTTGCAAAGGGTAAATACTGCTCATTATAGAAATAAAGAGTGCCAAAATATGTAATGTGAGTTTATTGATTTGGGAGTCCCAGCAATCTCTGCTAATTGTTTTTATTGATTTATCAAATTTTGGGGACTAAAAAGTATAAAAAATAAATAAATACAAAACAGGTTTTGGGGAATATTACGGCGCCTCCCGAGATGGAGGAATGGGAAAACTTTGAATCTGGAAGCTGGATTTCCATTTCAGAGATCACCAATCTGACGGTGGCTGGGAGCGGGGGTGGAGTCATCGACGGTCCTGGTCACATCTGGTGGAGAAGAGTCAAGAACTCCCATCTCCTTTCCATCATAACAACCACCCTTGCCCCTTGCCCCTTGCCAAAGCCCTAAGGTCAGACAACTCTTTTTCATTTTCTTTTTATTTTTTTTTTCTGGAAATTTTTTTTCTTGTTTTGCTACCTTGACCAAAAAATAAAAAATCAAAAGTAAAAGTAGTGGGACACCAATTGTCATTTAAGTCTACAATAAATGAATTTTCTCCTATGATGGAGCACATATGTCAAAGATTGCATTTTTTTTTTGTCAAAGTAAAAGATTGCATTTACATGGCTTCTTATCGAGCCTAATTCCATAAAAAAAAAACCCTCAAACTTTAAATATAGTTTCAATTCTGCCATAATTTTTTTTTGTATAAACGAAAATCCCAAATTTTAGGTCCAGTCTAAATTTGCCCCGAACTTTTCTTTGTCTAAAAAAAACCCCAACTTTGGGTTTGGTCTCAAATCTACTCAGAAATTTTTTTTGCCCTGAAGAAAAATCACCAATTTTTACTCTAATCCTCAATCTACCCTCATTAGCCCTCTGTCAAAAAATTGTCGTTAGTCATCCCTAATTTTCATATTCTAAAACGGTTTCATTTTGGAAATAATTTTCCATGTCTCATTGCTCATGTGGATGTGTTATGGATGCGAAAATGCCATGTCAAGTTTAAACTGTTTCACGAGGGTAGATTTGAGAATAGATTGAAAGCTGGTATATTTTTTTAGATAAAACGAAATTTGGGACAGATTTGAAACTACAACTAAAGTTTTAGATTTTTTTTTAGACAAAAAGAGTTCAAGGTGAATTAAAATTAGACCTAAAGTTTGGGATTTTTTTAGGGAATTAGGCCCTTCTTAATATATACCAACCAACCAAAATGGGAAACTAAAAAATGTTGCAAGGAATTAGATGAAGGCTTCCATTTCCTTGCGAGCTATTACTTAGTGCACTGGATGCATGTAAGTCCGGTATTTTATCATCAGTATGACGTGCATTACTGGATCCATCATAACCGTTGATCATGCGGATCTCAGTCGAGGCCATCAATCAGGGTCTAGTCAAGAGTTTCTCCCTAAATGGGCCCGCCGAGATTAAAGTTCGCACCGCGTTGGGCTCACGGGGCACCCGAAAGGTTTTCTTTGTTTCTTAACTTTTTTTCTTTTACTCTTTTGTCTTTTCATGGGTGAAATTTTGCAGGGAATGTGCTTCCTCAAAATAGGGAACCATGAACTGAGTGGACTCACCCATTTGGACAGCCCAAAGACCCACCTAAGACTTCACAACTGCACTTCTGCGAACCTCACTGCCCTCCAATCCACGCCCCTGAAGACAGCCCCAACACCGATGGCATCGCCATTGCTGCCTCAAGCCACATCCAAGTCCACAACTCCACCATCAGAACTGCTAAAACTTATGCAAAAAAAAAAAAACCGACATTTAGGCTGCGTTTATTTCGTGAAAACTAATTGGTTTTGTCCTAAAAATTATTACCGGTACCACTTACAAAAATAGATAAACAAAAAAAGTTCATCGTTCATAAAAATATTTAAACATAAATTAATGTTAATAATTAAAATATTTTTTATTGAATGATTATTTCAAATCATACGAGCAGTCATTTTTTAGAATTGTTCGAGTCATACGAGCAGTCATTTTTTAGAATTCAAGCAGTCATTTTTTAGAATTGTTCGAGTCATGCGAGCAGTCATTTTTTAGAATTGCTCGAGTCTTCCCGAAAAGAAACGCTACTCAAATTTCCATGAATTTGTTGACTTTTTTACTATCCTATTGATCGAAGGACAATGTGAGCAGGCGATGATTGGATTGCCATGAAGGGTGGGTCCTCGTTCATCAACATCACTGGCATTCAATGTGGACCTGCCCATGGAATTAGGTTTGCCATCCTACCCCACATGCTAAATCCCCATAAATTCTTCCATATCTTATCCAGTTCGACCTAGAATTCTCAATCCATCGGCCGTTTGGCGTACTATCTATGAAGTCTGGATAAATATTATGAACAAGTCATGTTGAATATATCGAAAACGGAGATTGCCAAACAACGAAAATGAAGTATAAGAAAAGAAAAAAGAAAATAAAAAAAGAAAAAAAGAAAATAGTATCAAATTCAAGATGAGTAATTTCGGAAAGTACTTTCACCTACTTAGATCAGGGAATTCACTTTCCTAATCTTATACATGAGTGTTTTCCTTGACTGAAAAGTATTTTCGGTTGATTTATCTTTTTCGGCGAACCAAACGGGTGAAAGTTCGGAAAACGAATTTCTGGAAAACACTTTCTCTCAAACAAACGTACCCTTAGTGTTATGATTTTAACCTTGCAAAAATGTAATTCGGTACCCCTTTTCCCAATGACATTATTGAAGTCTTTTTCTTACCGTGTTGAGTGGATCCAAAATCAATCTTCGAGATTGCGTATTCAACTCAACTGAAAATGGTGCGAGGATCATGACATGGGAGGTCGGTTAGTGTACATCAATTTTCACTAATTAATAACAAAGTTAAGCATAACACACTGTGCTTTTTCACCCAAATCCATGTTTGCATTAATTTATTTTATAGTGAATTAATCATCTTTATTTTATGTCGTGTAGGGTGGATCTGGCTATGTTAGGGGGATCCATTTCGAAAATATTACCGTTTCCTATGCTCATAACCCGATAATAATCGACCAGGGCTATTACGTCGATCAGAAGCGCCGTTGCAAGGTAAAAACTATGTTTCCAGTTAATGCTTGCATGGCTTACTAGGGATCTTTTAAACTGTTGATGTGTGCTCGTATGGCTGAAATCATAAATTTACGTATAGAATGCATTAAAACAGCAGAACTCGTAATCCGCGTAGTGTCTCATTTGAACCGCGGTTGCAGATGGCGTCATCGATAGTGAAGGTAAGCAACATGACGTATCGAAAAGTGAGGGGGACTTCAGGGAATGAGCCGTCAATTACACTGCGGTGCACTGGAGGGACGAGTTGCACGAACATCGTGACGGAGCACATCGACCTCGACTCTTCGGAACCAGGGAAGAGGAGCTACGCCGATTGCAAGAACATCGTCGATGCTAGTTTCAATTACATCAATCCTCCCATTTCTTGCCTCACTTCGTAGGGTTAATCGTTGTAGCCGATGGCACCCGTGCAATAAATTGACCGAGTTAGTTTTTCTTATCCTAGCTAAAAATCAAGATTGTTTATACCGTTAATTTAATCATACTTATATACGTCTGGTGGTCAAGATAATTTGTACAAGTTTTGTAACTCATGGGGGGGCCGATAGGGTGTTCGAGTTAATGTTCGGGTGAAACTATTTTGACACTGCTTTTTACTTGAAAACGCACCCTTTTGAGCCATTTCACAAGCACATTTGTTTTGTTGACTTTTACTATTTTGGTAGAGCTGGAACCATAAAATCAATATAACCGCAAGTACATGAAGAAAGAGCTCTCCACGCAAGGTTGTCGGCGCTGCTATTTGCTGTGAAAATGGATAGTGCTGACACCTGAATTTTCCCGGACAGAGAAAATTTTGTTAATTACGAAAGACTGCAAAGACTCGGATCAACTCAGTTTCATCGGGATTTACTCGGGCCCGATAGAACTCGACCCAATCCGGCCATAGACCGTGTCCCTCTCTCTGTGGCCAAAATTTCCATGCCGCAGGACACGTTCCCATTGTTCAAAATCCTTCCTATTCACAATGATCGCTCGGGCGTCTATTTCTTGAGATGGTGGTAAGTGGCGCAATGGTACAAAACCCTAGAGTAGAGGACTAAGGCGTCTCTTTCATTCTCGAAGGTCGTCCTGCGTCCTACTGGGGGGGTGCACATGGAAAAACAGAAAGGGAGCTTTCTTCGATAGTGGCGTGACTTTGACGTTTTTGGAAACGAGAAAAGGACAGCACAAGGAAGAAAGGCCCACTTGTCATTCCAAAAATCTTGGATGGAGAAGGAGAGCACGGTTTTTCCCCAGGCGATTCTCCCCAATATTATCCTGGTCACTTTCCATTAGCCAGCAGTCGCCACCAGTCCGCGGTCACTGGCCACCGACGAGCTTCCACGTCGAAAGAGAGCAAGAACAGCGAACATGGACTGATCCTCGCCGTCTCAGGATCGCCGTTTCGTCGTTATCGTCAGTCCAGCTATCACAAGAAACGCTGTGTTTTCGGGCTGTGAAGATCCGAAGCAAGCCGTACGCGTTTTGAAGCTTCATCGCTGGCCGCGCACTCTCACCGGCGGCGACACTTCTGGGACCCGCCTCGTGCAAGGTTGACCGGCAACCGCAACCGAGAACTCCTCCTTGACGAGGTAATGTTGAACCCCCCTGCCTTTCCCTCTTCTGAGTGAAACGCCGAGACTCGGTTTCTTCAGTTCATGCTCGCGTCGGATCTGAATAAGTTGGTTGTGTTGAACTCGAACATTTCTGAGCGGTGTCTTTCGAGTCTGGATGTAAGTTCGAGAGCTGAAAAGGTCAATACTTTTTCCTCAATCCACGTTCATAACCCGTTCCTATAAGAATCCAGTGCAAGTTAGTTTCGTTTTTCTGTATAGCTCGAGAGCATACTGGCCCGGATTAAGTCACCTTAATTGATTTTCAAAGGGTTTTTTTTGGGGGGCATCATCCGTTTGCTCTTGGGTTCTATGCTCCCGAGGTCACCAACGGCGTTTGTTGGCGAGTTGATGATGCCGTGTTCATGGCCCGAGTGTCGACCGCTATGTGCATCTACACCGGTTTGCTTACGGCGTCCCCTTTATCTGCTTGTCTTGACCATGCCGTGCATGCGTGAATTGTCAAAGCGGTCGATGATGGAGGTGGGTATTGATGGCCGTCAGTCTCGGGGTAGGTAAATCCGGTGGTGAGCGTAGGCGATGCTCGGTTTAAAGGTTCGGACGCGTGGAACCCCGTTTCTTTTTTGTGCTCATAAATGGTCAAGGTTTATTGTAAAAGAACAGGGGTTGCAGTTCTGGGAGAAGTAGGAAGTGAGCTTTGGAAGAAGATGAGAACAAAAGGAAGAGGGAAATGGGTGGTGTCGTAGGTGGGGCTTAAGTGACATTTTTTTTGACAAATTTGGACTTGTCTAATTTGGGGAGTTTAGGCCTAATTAGGTATTGATGATTGTTGGGATTAATTGGTTTGATATATTTGGGCTTAGTTCTAGTTGTAATTGGATTGGTGATTTTTGGGCTTGAATTGACTTGATGGATCCGGGCTAGTAGGGGCTTGGTTGATTTTTAGAGGAAATTGGGGTTTTGAATTTTTAATTATGTGAAGCCCATGCCTAATCCTACACGCGGGTAATAATTTTTTAAAAAAAAAGTTTAAAAAAATTGAAAATTAAGAAAATCAGAAAATGGCCAGGACTAGAAGCCTTGATTAGGTTGTTAAATCTTAGTAATAGATTTAGTTTAGTTTCAGTTGGGTAACATAATTTTTAGTTTAGGAGTTTTAGTAGTTACTCTTACGAATGTGCAAAAAAATCAGGAATTGCCCGGAGCCGAATCGGACCCACCCAAAACCGGCGGTTCCCAGTTCAAATTTATTGGAACTAGTGAGTACTGGTTCGATTCCCGGTTCTAGGTGTGGAACCCCAACCAAACCTGACGACCGGTATATATATATAATTGTTTAAAAATTTTATGTTTTCATATCAAAACCCTAGTTTCCTCTTCGTCTCTCTCCGTCTGTCACCTCACTCATTTTGTGATCTCCGTATAGATTCCTCAAAATCATGGAGAACTCCTACCTCAACGTAGTTTCTAAGGCTACGTCCATCTCACCACCTTCTTATCTTCCATCAGAAATATTATGAAGGAGTAGCAAGGCAAATGACATTTTCTGTGACTTTTGCCGAAGGTGCCTTGGATGACCCAAAGAACCCAACCTTTCAAATACACTTCTTCCAAAGCCAGCCTTGCTAGAAAGCTATAGGAATAAAAGCATACACAAACAAATCACAGCAAGGGAAGGTGAACTACTCCGCTTTGGACATATGAACTGCATGAATTTGTTGGGGACATTTTGACCAGTTCCATGGACTCACCCGCGAACCGAACTGGACCGGCGGTTTGGTTCCCAAGTGGGTTATGGAATCAACTGCCGGTTCCCGGTTCTAAATTTTCGGAACCAGTTCTTAGTGGGCGGTTTTCGATTTCAGTCTCACCTTGAAACCGATCACCTCTAATTACTTTTGGTATAGCTTAGGCTTTAGATAGATTAATCTTTTAGGTAAGAAATTGAACTTAATTTGAACTTAGCTCATGGGGTTGCCGTCCTGGGGCATAATAACAAGGCCATGTGTATTCTATGCGTGGTGCTTCATTGAGTCTACTGTCCTACACTTCGCTTTTATTGCATTAATTGTGATTGTCTACTTTTCTGTGATTGTGCAATCATGCATGGATATCATTTAGTGGCATATATTAATAAATATGGTCAAAGATTGCCCGAATCATTTAGGTAACAAACCAATTAAGTTAGGGTACTGAAAAGACATTAGTTAGACAATTAGTGTAACCAAGTCTTTAATCTTATCTCTGATTGCTCAGGAAGTGAGGTATCCTCCATACCTCACTTGGCTCCTAGCCTGCCTTATAGGCTAATGGCGACTCCTAATTTTGTTTTTTGGTCTAAAGTGGCGACTCATATTTAGATTAGACTTCATTGATAGATCAATTTCAATCGTAATTTCCCAATGTCGAGCGAGGTAAGGGTTTGGGAGAACCCGCATCAATTGAGGACCAATGATCCCAAACTCGGCATTACCTCTAAACCCGTCATCTCCATGACATGCCCGTCGAGAGGGACGCGATAGATAGTGCTAGAATTATAGGCTCTTTTTTTTTTGTATGTGCTAGTATTTTAGACTTGATTCGCAGAATTATAAAAAAGAATCTTGTTAGATGATTGGATATTACTTGGTACATCGTTCTTATTAGTAAGTTTTAGTGTCTCCAGCCAGTAGTATGCTATATGCAATTTGAGTAATCAGACAATGATGTGGTACTTCTATTCATATATTAATAGTCACATAAGCAAAGATTGAAAGGACGATTAAAGTCTAAAACACATGAGTACGAGACACCAGTGAAAATAATAGTCGGAATACTTAACTTATATAGAAAACGATGAAAAGGAGAAATGCACAAAATGAAATTTGACATGTACTATGATATCATATTAAAAAGAAAAAAATTTCAAATACCCTCCTCATTTTTCACTTTTTCACTCTATTACAACTTTCTCTCGTTTATTTTTTTGAGGTATAGTGTATTAGGAGTTTTAAAACTTGTTGTGAAAGTGCAATTAAGTCCGAAAACTTTCAAAAAATGCAATCAAGTTCTGAAACTTATTAAATTAATGCAATTAAGTCCTTCTGTTAACTCCACCCTACAGCTAACATAAAATGCCGATTATTATTTTCTCTTTCTTACATAGCACTAGCAGTGACGTCACTAAAACATGAAACATAGAGCTAAATGGTATCGTTTTGGTCCAAATCTTTCTTTTTAAACCCAAATTTGAGTTAAAGTAGATGAAAAATAAAGGCTAAATTTAAAAAAAGAACACAAAAAAAAAAAAAAAACAGGCGAGGGCTAGCCCTCACTACTATCATGCCACTATCACTTGAAAATGCTCAATGATGCCCGATTATCCTTAACTAGGTCTCAAGCTCACGGCCACCAGGTCTCAGGCTCACGGCACCAGATCTTGGGTCGCTACCCCTTGCCTGTGGTTCAGAGGGTCGTTGGGCATTGTTCGGGCGTCGGGCACGAGGAGGGCCTATAGGATCTCACCTTGTTTTTTTTTCTTTTTTGTGTCTTTTTTTTAAAATAACCTTTTATTTAAATTTTGGATTAAAAAGAATTAGATTTGGACCAAAACGACGTCATTTTAGTCTTATATTTTATGTTTAGTGACGTTAATGTCACGTTCGACAAAGAAAATAAAAAAAATAAAAAACAATGTCAGTTTTTTTTTCATTAGTCAAGTTGGATAGAGTTAACAAAAACACTTGATTTGCACTAATTAATAAATTTTAAAACTTAATTGCACTTTTGAAAGTTTCAAGACTCAACTGCACATTCGTGATAAATTTTAGGACTCCAAGTATATTTATACCTTTTTTAAAATACCATTCTGCATCTTAAGACAGACAAATTATGCGAAGAACCAAATTACCCTCCCTTACAAAAAAATATCAACCTAACTCTAATACTATCAACCACAGAGTCATACCGAATCTCCACAGCTTTGCTGTCCGGCACAAGCCCACCGCTCTCTCTCTCTCTCTCTCTCTCTCTCTCTCTCTCTCTCTCTCGTGAAAGGGCATGGCGACCTCATGTCTCGGTTGTCAAGGTGCCCGTAACCTCCATTCAAGCTCACCCAATTTGCATGACCTCATATCCAAGTTGTCCGTGGTTGATGACGACCTCATATCGAGGTCACCACTGGGGCGACCTCACATGCATTGTTGAAGGTCGTGCCAGGTCGTGCATGAGAGAGAGAGAGAGAGAGAGAGAGAGAGAGAGAGAGAGAGAGAGAGAGGTGCTACAAAAAAAGGTGAAGGGCGGTGGAGGCCATGGAGACAAATGTTACGTTTGGTTCAACTTTCCCAAGGATCTTTAAGCCTCCGAAACCCCTTCGGAAAAAAAGTGAGACGTTTGGTTCAGCTTTGGGAACTTCTTTGGCCAAATGCTAGCATTGATAAAGCTGAAAGCTCAAGAGAGCTCCCCACCCACTTTGGCTTTTAGCATTTGTGGAGGCCATTTATAGGGTTAAATGATTTTTTTTCCTTCCAAGACTACCCTCACCAATTTTTTCATTTTTGATTTTGCCCTCGTTGTTACTGTTCATATTCTTTGCGCGAGGGCGGCTGGCGAGGCCAGATCTGGCCAGCATGAGGTTGACAAGAGGCCAGGGAGGTCACATGACCCAGGCGACAGTTGCTTTGTAATCATTACGCTGAAGTGGTCAATTGCGCAATGCAACGAAACATGTCATTTTCCAACTTGCATGGACGCATTATGCATTGACTAGGATAATAACAAAACCGCAATTTGTTCTTTTGGGCTTCTGCTCCACCTGCATCGACCTAAGTCGAAGGCCTCTTCAGCTTGTCATTGAATAGCTTTCTGTCTCTATTATCTCCATCTCTTAACCGGACAAGAGATGGCATCTCTTCTAATCAGTGAAAGTCAATTCTTGGGGGATGAAAGTGTTGCGGAAGCCAAGCGATCGAACAATAAAATTGACAGAGTAAGAAAATAAATCGGACACCAGATTTACGTGGTTCGGTCGTAGTGACCTACGTCCACGGGGAGAGCAGCACGGAATTCCACTATAGATCAAGCGATACAACGAAGATTACAACCACACTCGAGTCACTCAAACACTCTAAGTATTTCCAAAGTCCCAATTACACCCAATAACGCACGCAGTGTTTAGCCTCAAATTACTCACGAAATAATCTCTCAATCTCGCGAAGGAATTTTACACAAATCTTATCACAAGATTTAATCGCTACGAACACTTGAACTCTTGATATAATTCCACGAAGAAAATCCACACCAAGCACTCGATTGAACACGGCGCTTCAAGAATCAATTCTTCGTTCTGGACATGGACTTCATGAGAACCACGCCGCTCTTCATCAACTATTGCGCTCCGAAACCCACAATCTACTTTTATATGTATGGTCAGGAAGAGGATGTGGCCAACTCAGAGTTGGATTTGGAAATTTGGATGACTCGATCAACCAAGCATGGCTTGGAATTTCCTTTGTTGATCGTGACTCCTACAGGAATTAGGAAAGAATATTTTATTCTTTCTATTTTCCTTTTCTTTTGTTTGCTGCCAACTCTTGCATGTTAGGAAAGCAAATTTCCAATATTTCCTTTTGCTCGATTTCGAACATCCGCAAAATATCAATTCGGAATATTCAGATTTTCGTTTCGAGCTCAAACTCGAGACATATTTTTAACAATTTCCACCTTGGCTCAACGTTTGAGCCAAGTCACAATCGCTTTGATAGAAATCCGAATTTCGCTACTACTCTCCCATAGCCCCCGATGGGCTCAATCGCCACAGACGTCTTCCAAGTCCAAGCCTCGCTTGAACTTCGCCATAGCCGTGGACCTCATCAGAACACTAACTCCATATGCACCTTTAACTGCTCCACAAGGATTTTCCGATACAATTTCCTCAATTGCAGATAAAGCAAAACCATCATTGCATCTATATCTGTCAGGAGATCGAATACGCATCTTGTCAATATCAGCAGTTACAGCAACTGTTGGCTCAATAGGCTCCACCTCGCTATAAGCACCATCCGTGTCGATTATTTGGCTAGCACCCGCTACCTCAGGAGTTTCTGATTGCAACTCCACCTCAAGCTGAATACCGTTTAGATCCGTATGAACACTGCTATTAACAGTCCTAGCCAGAAGTACTGGAGACTCGTCAAATGTAACTTCTCTGCTGATAATAGGTGAATTTAATTCCGGGCACCACAACTTATAGCCCCGCTCACCTTGTGCATAACCTAGGAACATGCACTTTCTTGTCCTTCCATCGAGTTTACCATCACTAACTCGAACATAACATGGACAACCAAACATTCTAAGAATAGAATAATCAGCAATGTTACCTGACCACACTTTTTCGGGAGTCCGACATTCAATTGCAGTTGATGGGGATCTATTTTTCAGGCAGCTCGCCGAACTAAGCGCATCCACCAGGAATCTCCTAGCCATACCAGCACTACAGAGGATTTTATGAGCTGTTTCTAGTAATGTTCTGCTCATCAACTCCGTAACCTGTTGTGGTTCAACGGCACTAGTGCGGTGTTTCACTATGCCTTCCTTCATGCAGAATTCGTTTAACATCTTCGAGCAAAACTCCATACTACTGTCAGTCCGCACTTGCTTGATCGTTCTATCAGTCTCCTTTTCGATCAAAGCTTTTAACTGTCTGATTCTAACAACAGCATCAAACTTGTGCCTTAGCACAAATACCCACGTCTTCCTCGAGTAGTCATCAACAACTGTTAGCATAAATCTGGCACTCTTCCTCGAAGGAAATCGCGACAACCTGCGAACATCTAAGTGAATTAATTCTGCAATATCCGTGGTTTCCTTAACAACCGTACTAAACTGCACTTTCCGCCGTTGATCTAAATCACAGCACCTGCATACATTCAGTTCGTTAGCTACATAACCACATAACAAATTCCTTTCACTTAGACCTATAGGCTTATCTCTCTAATGTGCCCCAAACGCATATGCCACAATTCAGACTCTCGAACCGATGCATCCGACGTCTCCGCAGCGAATTCCATCACTGTCTCACCTTGAAGCTCATGCAGGCCACTATGCTTGATTCCTTTCATCATCACCAAGGCACCTCGAACAACTTTCAGAAGTCCACATTCTAAAGAATACAGACACCCAGCTGAATCTAGGGCACTCAAGGAAATCAGATTTTTCTTCAACTCTGGAACATGCCTTACTCCAATCAATGTCCACACAATACCATCATACATTCTGATTCTGACATTACCAACACCAATAACATCGCATTCAGAATTGTTCCCCAACTGCACTTTACTACTATCCGTGCACTGATAAGTAGTAAACCAGTTCCTATTTAGTGTAGCGTGAAAAGAACAACCATAATCCATAATCCATTCGCCAAACGACGAATTATCAGTGACAGACAAGACATAATCAGCATTATCCGAATTACTGTCTGCTATAGCAGCAACATCATCCGCAGACTCAACTCTAATTCCATTACCCTTGTCGTTTTTCAGCTTAAGGCAATCCCTTCTAAAATGCCCCCTCTTGCCACAACTCCAACAAACAACACCACCAGTCCTAGACTCACTTCGTCTATTCGAGTTCATACTACTCCTGCTAACACGTGTACCAGTTCTTCCTCTATTTTCACCTACTAAAACAGCAGATACATGTTCGCCAGATTCTCTTCTACGGATGTCCTCACTCAGAATTAAATCTCGAACACCATCAAATGTCAAACTTGTCGATCCAGAGGAATTACTAGCAGCAGTAACAGTAGTATTCCAACTATCGGGCAATGAAGATAATAGAATCAAAGCACGTACCTCATCTTCAAAGTCAATCTCAACTGAACTCAATTGACTAACGATCACATTGAATTCATTAATATGATCAGCAACTGACGCACCTTCGCTCATCTTCAAATTAAACAGACGTCGAATCAAATAGACTTTGTTGATTGCAGAGGGCTTCTCGTACATGTCCGACAGGGCTTTCATCAAACCCGCAGTGGTCTTCTCATCACGATGTTAAACGCGACGTTACGTGACAACGTTAGCCGAATAACACCCAAAGCTCGTCTATCCAGCAATTCCCAATCAGCTTGCTTCATCGTCTCTGGCTTCTCCCAAGACAAGAGCAAGTACAGTTTCATCTAATATAGATTATCCTCAATTTGCATCTTCCAGAAACCAAAGTCCTTCCCATCAAATCTGTCGATTCTCACTTTTCCTTCTTCTATCGCCATCGATTCGCTTCAACTTAAGCAAGCCTAGCTTTGATACCAATTGTTTCGGAAGCCAAGCGATCGAATAATAAAATTGACAGAATAAGAAAATAAATTGGACACTAGATTTACGTGGTTCGGTCGTAGTGACCTATGTCCACGGGGAGAGCAGCACGAAATTCCACTATAGATCAAGCGATACAACGGAGATTACAACCACACTCGAATCACTCAAACACTTTAAGTGTTTCCCAAACACCAATTACACCCAATAACGCATGCAGTGTTTAGCCTCAAATTCCTCACGAAATAATCTCTCAATCTCGCGAAGGAATTTTACACAAATCTTATCACAAGATTTAATCGAACACTTGAACTCTTGATGTAATTCCACGAAGAAAATCCACACTAAGCACTCGATTGAACACGGCGCTTCAAGAATCAATTCTTCGTTTTGGACATGGACTTCATGAGAACCATGCCGCTCTTCATCAACTACTGCGCTCCGAAACCCACAATCCGCTTTTATATGTATAGTCGGGAAGAGGATGTGGCCGACTCAGAGTTGGATTTGGAAATCTGGATGACTCGGTCAACCAAGCATGGCTTGGAATTTCCTTTGTTGACCGTGACTCCTACAGGAATTAGGAAAGAATATTTTATTCTTTCTATTTTCCTTTTCTTTTGTTTGCTGCCAACTCTTGCATGTTAGGAAAGCAAATTTCCAATATTTCCTTTTGCTCGATTTCGGACATCCGCAAAATATCAATTCGGAATATTCAGATTTTCGTTTCGGGCACAAACTTGAGACATATTTTTAACAGAAAGAACCATCAATCCGAATGCAGCCAAGAACAAGAATTCAGTTCTTTCCCCATCCCATCAGTCCACAGCACTCGCAACTTTCAATTGCATCACAATCTCTTGACTCGCGTCGCCGCTCAACACAACAAATTAGGAAGCAACCTATGATGAACCGTTCTATATATGCACCAACAATGGCTCATCTGGTGTTTGCAGGGTCTCTCGTGTCCAAACCATGTTCTTGCTTCTGATCCTGGTGTCGCTCTTCCTCAGTTCTCTGCAAGCTTATTCTTCTGCTTCCTCTTCAAGTCTTGAGCCTGCAAATTTCTTTTTCGCTTCTTTCACCGGCTCTTGCGCCGGTGAAGAGCTCATTTGCATGGGCTCGGCGAGCATGCAAGATGGGTATTTGAACATCACACCGGAGCTGGAGGAGCTGGGTAATTCAAGCCCGAATACGACAAACAAGGTAGGGCGGGTTCTTTATTCCCGGCCAGTGGTTGCTTGGCCTGCCATGATCTCCACCACGTTCACCGTCAGGATCACCACATTGCCGAATTCCACAGTCTCTGGCGACGGGATGGCTTTTCTTTTCGCGCAGGACAATAGCTCCTCACCACCGAACAGTTACGGCTCGTTCATGGGGATTCTTGATGAGTCCACTCAAGGTACTTCTACCCAATCCTTTGTTAGATGAATACGAAATCTGTGGACTTTGATGTAGATTGTTGATCTAAAAACAATTTCTCTTCGACTGAATATATAGGCGGAGTTGTTCGACAACTAGCCGTGGAGCTGGACACCTACATGAACGAGTTTGATCCCGACGGGAACCACGTAGGCATAGACACGACGAGCACTATTAGCCCAGTCGCTGCCCAAAGCCTAAACAGCACAGGAGTGGACCTAAAAAGTGGAAGGGACATCAGAGTCAGAATTGACTATGACGGCTATAAACATAAACTCCAAATCTCAGTGGCGTATTCTGGGAATTCGCTTATAAGTGTTCTCAATCATTCGATCAGAATGTTGGAAACGGTCCCTAGTCTCGTGTATGTGGGCTTTTCGGGATCTACTGGTCCTCTTCCCGAAAGTCACCAGGTCATTAACTGGGCATTCAGCTCTTTTCCTATATCTTTGGAGGAGGAGCGGCTCAAGAGAGGCAACAGGATCAAAACCATACTGGTTCTGGTTGTGCCAAGCGTGATGATGCTATCGTTCATCGTGATATGCATCTGCCTACTCGTTAAGAAAGCACAGAGGAAGAGAAACAAGAAGAACGCCGACATGGAAAACCAATCAAGGTTGGCTGCAAACGTTCCAAAAATGTTCACCTACAAGGAGCTAGCGAAGGCCACTCACAACTTCAGCAAGGAGAACCTGCTCGGCACCGGCGGTTTTGGAAGCGTTTACAAAGGGGTGATCTCAGATCCTCCGGTCGAAATAGCCGTGAAAAAGATCTCGGCAACCTCGAAACAAGGTCTGTTTCTTTACAAAGATCCTCTGTGAAATAGTTCTCGATTTCACGATCTCTCAATTAACTTTAGGGCAATTTTTTCAACCTCAAATTCAACAGGTGAAAGAGAGTATCTGGCAGAGATATGCACAATTGGGAGGATGAGGCACAAGAACATAGTACAGCTCCAAGGTTGGTGCCACGAGGGGGAACAACTTCTACTAGTCTACCCATATATGGCCAACGGTAGCCTTGACCACTACATCGGCAAGCAGTCCCTCAGCTGGGAGACCCGGTACGAGATCCTGATTGGCCTGGCCTCGGCGCTACTCTACCTCCACGAAGAATGCGGGAACCCTGTGGTCCATCGGGACGTCAAGCCAAACAATGTCATGCTGGACTCCAACTACAATGCCTACTTGGGTGACTTTGGGCTCGCAAGGCTGCTCCAGAACAACTCCTCAGTGACAACCATGCTCGCGGGCACCCCTGGGTACCTGGCCCCAGAGGCAGCATACTCAGGGAAGGCCACGCCGGAGTTGGACGTGTACAGCTTTGGGATGGTGGTCCTGGAGGTGGTGTCCGGGAGGAGGTCAAATGGGATCATGGAAGAGAACAATTTGGTGGATCATGTGTGGAGTCTCTACGGAGGAGGCTCACTCTTGGAGTGTGTGGATGGGCAAATGGAAGGCCAATTTGAGGATGAGCAAGTGAAGAGGGCGCTGATAGTAGGGCTTGCTTGCCTACACCCGAACTCTGCGTCCAGGCCGACGATGCGAAAGGTGGTCCAGATCTTCCTGAACCCAGACGAGCCACTGATGGAGTTGCCCAAGTCCCGCCCCAGCGTGGTCTACGTGCCGGTCTCATTCTCGGGCGCGGCCACCGTCGCCCTCTCCTCCAGGACCAGGTCCACCTTCTCTCCCTCACTGCGCAATTCGCTGCACGAGATAGAACTCGAGGAGCAACAGGGGATGCTGGGGTTGCGCTGATGGCCACGAGAATTAAAGACCGTATCAGAAAATTCCACGCGATTCACGTCCTAATCATACAGGAATGAGTTTTACTATGCTACAATGTTGTGCAGGATGAATACTCTTTGAAGCTAGCTGTGTTGTATTTTACATTCCTCTGTGAATATCTACATCCTTACATGAACTAGGGAAACGCCAGTATGTACGTTGTTCGACAAAAATGAAATCGAGCTGGAGTTGGTTCAAGTCAGGCGCCCTCATTGCAGGAATTACATGGAGCATACAAAGAAGACCCACTTGAATGAGCAACGATTTACATATGTTGATTCGCATGGTTTTGGAAATTCAAGGCTCAAATTAGTCTAATGAAAGAAAAAATAATATGGGAAAATGGAAGACGTTCAAAAAGCAAAACGACGTGCGTTTGCCGGGAGTCGAACCCGGGTCTATTGCTTGGAAGGCAATTATCCTAACCGTTGGACTACAAACGCTTGCTGCCCTCTGTGAACTATATAATTTTATAAAGATTCTATTTATTTCTCCGAAATCCACCATGGCCTAAACCGCTTACTAACCAATGGGCTGATTAGGCTCGAGCATTGTGGTCAATATAAGAGCAGCGGCGGACATCCAACGAATGCGCGTGACCATTTAGGGTCGCCTGCCGGTGCCGCCCGACACATCACAAGAATGGTTGGTCCATCTTCGCCTGGTCTAGAACAAGTCGGAAAGCCAAGATTCTCGAGTCAGCCTCGGGTACTCCACATTGGATTGCCGGGCGACAAGCGGCAAATGCTCCTTTTGTGACGGCATAAGTAGTTCTCCGACTCTACATTCGAATTAGGCAGTGGGGCGCTTATTTAGAGGACGGGCCTCAGCTCGTTCCTAACCTTGTTATGGAGCGCGAGTTTTGACTCCAAAGATCAAATGGAGAACGCATCCCAAATCATATCATAAACTCTACGCGTCACTGACGTTTAGGAAAAGGATTGGAATATAGTAGCCCGCGAGCCTCCAGTAATCTTGTCGGTGGTACGGCCAACTTCAGGCCCATCATACAGTGACTCAATTGATGAACACGACAGTAATCTTCTATTCTTTCTGCAATTAACTCTCGCTCAATGTAAAAGATAACACATCCACTCTCTGAAAACAATTGGGATGGCGGAAGATGAGTTGAATCACAGTGAGATCCTATACAAGGTGGTCGATCAAGCTATGGTATCAGTGATGCTGAGGAGCAATGCATGCAACTCGATGGATCAAGCTCAAGATCACAAAGATAAAACCCTCGTTTATGTTTGCACCCTCAGGAAGATGACTTTCATCTGTTTCTACACTCCGGAGAGCTGAGCATGGTTTCTACCCTACGAAGTAACTCACGACTCATTCTCTCATCGGATATGGGATTGGCTTGTTATCAGAATCGATCTCGATCATGGGTTGAAGTTCAAACCCTCCCATCTTACACTTCAAGCAATTCCTCCCATGGAAGCCGTGCGAGTCATGCCCTCTTTCTGAGTAAATGCATAAGCGACGATGGAAGCTAAAAGCTAAAGGCTGACTGTCTTTTTTAGCTGTAAAAGGGAGGGGGTCAATGGAGGGACCGTGCGACTCGTTTGCCCTCAGATCCACCGCCTGCTCAGTCCCCCCGTTGCACGGATCGCTGTCCCCACCGGTTTCCACTGCGGTGCCGTTTCCATCTCGTTGTCTTCCACGTGTGCATGTTTCGTGGGAAAAAGTTTTCTGATACTGCTGCAAGTTCGAGGAAGAAGGAAGGCGACAGCGAAAGAGCTCGGCTCGATTCAACCGCTTTTGTCTTCGTTTATCTTCATGTAGAGACTTTCCAATTTCTTCCAGAGACCGGCCGCTGTTTCCTCATCGGCGACTTTTCGCAAAACTTTGTCATCTAGAGACAACTAGATCGCGCTATGCGCCTTCTCGTCCATCTCTTCAATCTCAGCCGAGGTCATATCGTCTGGATATTTTCCGTCCAGCGCCCTAACCGTACCCTCTCGCCTCAATAAAGCCTTCATCTTTATTCTCCATAATCCGAAGTTGTTCTGTCCGTCAAAAGATGAGATCTGAAACTTCAAAGATGCCATCTCAAAGAACCCTAGAATCGAACTAGGCTCTGATACCAGTTGTTGGAAACAACCGCGGAAAAATAAATACATAACACAAGGATTTACGTGGTTCGATCACAAGGTGATTTACGTCCACGGGCAAGGCAAAACAAGATTTCACTATATTCAAAGAGAGTACAATTTTCAGAAGTCGAAAAAACGACTTAACAAAACCTCACGACTCACAAATCTCTCACAAAACGAAAATCTCTTTATCAATGAAAAAATCTAGCCGCAGTATAAATAGTGCTCCCCAAAAAATTTCCTCGGGGGCATAGCCTCCGAACCCCCCAAGACATTTGTTCGCTTACTCCAGCTTGGGCGGTCCACCATAGAGATTTGTTCGCTTGCTCCAGGTTAGGCCTATCGGCCCAACCCTCCGCGTCACGAACTAAATCTCAATTTTTCTCCACTTTTGGATCGCTCAAAAATATGTCGGGTCGGGTGATGAACCGGACCGAGTACATAAAATTCAAGACATATTTAACAGTTTAATTTCCCGTGCTGATGCAGGAACTGGGACAGGCCGTTCCTCGGGAGGGACGAGTCAACGCATTTTAGCAGCATCGCCCCTCGAAAGTTCTACCGGTGAAGGGAAGCAAATGTGCACGTCCTCTTTTGTTGGCTTCGCTTCAAGATCGATCAAAACTCATGTTGTGACCTAGTCAGCTTTTATATATCGAAAAGATATAAGAAAAGACTGTCTTTTCTTCGAGGAATTGAAAGTTACCCTATCCGATGTTGCAAATTGCGTGTAAACTGCTATAATTCATGATATCAGGCATATCAGATTGTACGGACTTAACCGGTTCACGGGACTTGCAAGGTACTTTATAAATCTCCATAGAAAAAATATATATATTAACGACAAGTGAAAAATTGTATTAGAGTTTGAAAAATTGACTCGTATTTGTTCGCTAAAAATAGTCCACAATTAAGGGTGATTGGTTCCCAGCTCGATATGGTTTCAAGGTGGAATTGAAAACCAGACCGAGAGAACCGATTCCCAAAATTGGGAACTGGGGGTTGGATCAATATGTCCTAGAACTGGGAATCGGAACGGACCACCACCAGTCCAGTCTGATCCAATAGAACTGGTCATTTTTTTTTCTCACTACTTGATACCATATGGTTTGAAAGTAGAGTTGCATTCCCCATGCCGACTACACATAATTACAAAAACAAGCGTGCAATTCGAGCCAATATGATAACAAATTATGTTTCCCATACCGACTACACATATGTTCTAAAATTGGAATTGTATTCCCCATGCCGATTGCATATAATTACAAAAAAAAGTATATATATTTGGTTTGGTCTGATTCAGTCCGGTTTCCCTTGGAACTGAGAACCGGAACGACACTCATGGGAACCGAATCAAACTAGCTGGTCCGGTCCGGGCGATTCCCAATTTGGGCGATCAATTTTGCACACCCCTAATCACAATTACCGTCTACTAAACAGTATTGGATAACAAATTGCATTAACAATTTACGAAGTTACACTGCAATCGTTGTACTTGATTGGCAGACGATTACAACCAACAAAGGAACATGAACTCAGCTTATTGAATCACTACAAAGCAAGACCACAGTATGTCGACAACATGAAAACTCAAACTACAAGAGCAAGGGTAGATGCACAAGGAAGTCATGTAAATAAATCTCCTGAAAGTACAGGAAATAAATCTCGTGCTGTCGGTGTTCGTGCGTGTCTCTTCCTCTCCATATGCAGGCCTTTTATATTCCATCGGTGACTGCAATAATTGCTTGACTCGACTTCAATAATTATTTGACTGAAAAAACTACTTGACAACAACTGTCAATTGACACTATTGGCAACTATTTCCGCTTTGTTTTTTACCCTTTTTTTTCATTTGAGTTCAGCCAAACTTCGTGAGTCGATGTCCATGTTTCTTGACTCGACTGACATCAACTTGGCTATCAATTGATAGATGGAACTATTCCCATTTGGTCGACTTTTTGGCATCTCACAATCAAAGCTAACATTTGACTATCCACCATATTCACAATCAATATAATATTAAATTTGTTGGTCAACATTACTCTTCTTTCGGAGATGCTCAATATGTTCAATTTCTCGGTTAATACGCACAGTTAGTCTTGACCTCGTTTAGTCGATAACTTTGCTTGTATCATTACGGCCAGACTTAAGAGCTTCCTATTTGTCTCAATGGCCAATGGCATCTACTGCTTATTAACTTAACTATTTGTCATCAAAGTTGGCACTTTTACGGTGCCGACAACATTATAAAAATTTTGAAAATCATTTTCTAAAATCCCCCTCGATCTCCATCACATTTCGTTGGCCCTAATTCTAACATTATACTCATCCTAATCATCATTTGGACTCAAGACCTCACAGCTGAAACCGGACCCAAGTTCATAGTAGTCTCGACCCTAAGTGCTTGCCCCCGAGCGCTAGATGCCTTCAGTTGGAGGTCTTGGGATCCTGAAGCCCAAACTCCGAACCCGATATCGAACTCGCCTCTTTGGTGCCCATACTAGTAGTCTTAGGACCTCGGCAGACTAATGGTTAGACTCACCCGCTTTCACGGTCAAATAGTACTCAATGATCCAATTAGGCCGTCCTAGATGGTTAGACCGGGTACCCAACGTCTAGACCCTGGACCTTGGTGCTTGGACTCAAAACCCCTGCCCTGTACCAAAGTATGCGGACCGGGGAGCTCGACGGCCAACCCTAGAAAACTACACTCATCTTCTCATATGAGGTCTCATCAAATCGAGCAGCAAATACTGCACAGTGATCACTAGCCCCACTGTGATAATTCCAACTACGCGATGAAGAGTAGTACATCGATCAGAAAGATGCCAAGAGCAAGCAGTCAGCGATGCGATCCAATATAATCTGGCAAAAGCATGTCCAAACATCAGTAGCGACAAGAACTTCGAAGCCATGCCGTCGTTAACTGGTGCGATAAGCGTTCTCTCTTGTTTGCTGCTGCAGATTTGGAAGTCTCTATGCCGTGTCCGCTGCGAATATCCTTTTGAAAAGTCAAACTTATTCTCTCGTTGCGAACATTACGATCTTTTCCCGAAGTACAATCCCAAGAATATCAGGAGAGAATAAAAGAAACCCTAAATTTGCCAAACGCTACAGCGATCGGCCAATGGTCAAACCTCGAGATAATAAATGCACGGTGGTACGAAGTCTAATGATAAGGTTTGGTAGGAAGGTGTTATCAGATGAGCTGTTTTCTATTTTTTTATTTTTATTTTTTTCAACCGAATTGCACAGGGGAAAGACTTTCATATTTGAAAATCGAGTCACCAAATTAATATAAGGGGAGAGTTAGAGTTTAATTAAGAATGATTCGACAAATATTTTTCTAAAAACGATAGTTTGTATTGTTTAAAATAATTAGTTAATGAAAAATATTTTCATTGCCGACGACAATTCATGTCTAAACATTTTTGTGAGCGATGACAATATTTTTCTTTGGGAAAATTGTCCAAAAAGTCCTAAACCTATTGCATTTTAACCTTTCAATTTTATCAATTCAATCTAAAATATTTTGCATTTGTGCCAATTCGGTCCATCCGGCCAACACTGACGTGGCAATTTTTTGATATTTTTTCAATTTTTTATTAACTTTTATTTTTTTCTCTTTTTTTTTTCTTTTTCTTTTCTGTCCTTCTTCCCTCTAGCCGGTCTAGCGAGGCGTGGGCCAGCGAGGTCAACCTCACAAGCCTTTGGCAAAGCTCGGCCCTGCCAACCACTGGAGAGCGCGGGCCTTGCCCACCCCCAGCCAAGGCGAGGCCGACCTCGCCCAGCTAGGGGCGGGCGAGGCTTGCCCTCACCAACACTCGGCGAGGGAGAGCTTCACCAAAGGCCGGTGAGCTCGGCCTCGCTGGTCCGTGACCGGACAGAAAAGAAAAAGAAAGAAAAGAGAAAAAAGGAAAAAAAATATTAAAAATATTAAAAATTTTCCATGTCAGTGTTGGCCGGTGGCCACGTCAACGTTGGCCGCCCAAAATTGGCTGGATGGATTGAATTGGCAAAATGTGAAAATGTTTAGGACTCAATTGGTAAAATTGAAAAGTTTATGACTGAATTAGCAAAATTGCAATGGGTTTAGGATTTTTTAGACAATTTTTCTATTTTTCATTTATTAATTTTTGTAAGCGACACAAGTGATCATCTTTAGAAAAATATTCTCAAAATCTTTCATTTTTCACGAAAACAAGTAGAACTTACATGTTATTCGAGAAGCTCTAGACTATCATACAATGAATTTTGTTGATGGTATGGAACTTACTTGTTAAATGATTGAATAAAGAGATTTTATGATTTTCTGTACACTCGCGTCTATAGTCTTTACCTTTATTAAATTAGGCTCTCAAAATTAAATTTCTTTAATTGGCCACGCTTAAAAAGTACCACGAAACACTTGTTAACATCGTTCCATACATATGCAATAATTTAATTGCATATTTAAGTGCGCGAGGCACGTCCTTGTCACGTTGTGGACAAGGCCTGCAGATGCAACGCATGCATTGCGCCATGCGGGGTCAAAGTCCCATTAGAGCGATGACCAAATTCCACTCTTTTTTTTTTTTTTTTTTATAATCGAGGATCCGCCACTATTCCCCGGGGACGAGCTCGCGCAGGTAATCGGGGCGCCTATACCTCGGGGAAGACTAGCCCAGCAATCCACCGTCAGGGCCCCCCGCTTAAATTACGGAACCGAGCGGGGATTCGAACCCAGAACCTCTGTGGAGGGAAGAAAAGCGCCCACCAACTCGGCCATGCGCAGGTGGCTACCAAATTCCACTCTTTATCTTCCTCCAAATGGAAAAAAACATGAAATGAAAAATTTGGCTCGTTTAAGATTTTCTTATTTTGGTCCCAACTTATGCAAATATTTTTAATTTTTGTGGTGTATAGAATTGTGGTGGCTTTTACGGCATTTTCCTCAGAAATACTATACATCTTTTTTGGTCAAACTTGGAAATACTATAAATATATAAGCGATGCCTATAATTGAGTTTTGAATTTACATATTACCGGTTCTTCCCGAATCATATCTCCTCATGCGGGTTATTTTTATACCAAAACATGGTAGCTACGTTGCAAAATCGAATCCTATATGCCTAAGGTTCTCATAAAGTTTAGAGGACTTGAAACTCATCCTTGTGATGGTCTCAGGCCATCAGACGTTCTAGCCAATCTCGATGAAGTTGAAGCAAAATGTGGTTAATAATGCATTATATTGGAAATCATGCAATCCCTAATTTTCGGATACATGACGGTGCCCAAACAATCTATTGACACCTTATTTTTAGCCCAAAATTCGAAAATCTGATCAAGGATTTGACTATATCTTTTGCTCGAATCAGCGGTTTTTTCTATTTATCTGGGGGAGGGGGGCAAACCTGGATTTCAAGATTTCGATATTATCAATCTTGCAAGCTACTCGATGAATTAAGAATCGTGCCGATCCTTAGTCACAACCTGCTTATTTTGATTGGTTAACATTTCTCTTCTCTAATGATGTGCGCTTCTTTTATCTCTTTTTTTATACGTATTGGAACGTGATCATCAGATGCACTCGATGCTCCTCTCATATGTAACGACACTCCACCGCTCAAGCAAGCAACTCGTGATTGCACGAGAGAGATGCCTTCGAGTGTCGAGAAAATCATGCAAGAAAGGGCATCGCAAATTGGGGAAAACCGGAAACCGTCCGTACAGGTAACTCACAGCAAAATAAAAAAAAATTAATGTCACGAAAAACTCCGGATCAATACATCCGTAATAAATTTACCCCAAACTAATTATCATGATACACATGTGACAAATTTACCATCTGTCAAATTGGATTAATACTATGAAAAATCATAAATTTGTAAATCTCTAACAAACGGAGAGGTAAAAATCTCAAATAGACCTTACCAAAAAAAAAATCTCAAATAGGTACACCCGTCAACTGTTATATGTCATCCAATTCAATAATTTGACGGTAAAATTTAACGGAAACTAACGGAGGGTAAATTTGCTGCAGGCGTACCGGTTTGGAATTTGTGGTGGTCAAAAAATTAGTTCAATGAAAATTCGTTACAAATATATCAATTCGGGATTTTTTTTGGTATCAACTCAATAATAAAAAAAGAGAAACGAAAATTAAATTCACCGGAGGTGCGCATCCTCTCCTCTGTGTTCATACTTCGTTGAAGCCCAGCACAGAACCTTAAAAAAATCCTCTGTTTCCTCTCTCTCTCTCTGTCTCTGTCTCTGTCTCTCTCTGCGACATCGTCTTCTTCACCAAACCCCCTTCCCCTCGCCTGCAAATACTCCCCTCCTCCACATCCAGCGCGCATCCCCTGCTCATCCCGCGCGAACCCTTTTCGCCGGACGCCCCCAAACGCCCGCATTCTCCTCCTCCCGCCGCCGACCGCCGCCGCCGCCGCCGGAGATGGGGAAGGGAGGGTCGCTGAGCGAGGGGCTGGTGCGGAAGATCGTGCTGTCCTACACCTACGTCGCCGTCTGGATCTTCCTCTCCTTCACCGTCATCGTGTACAACAAGTACATCCTCGACCGGAAGCTCTACGGCTGGCCCTTCCCCATCTCCCTCACCCTCCTCCACATGTCCTTCTGCTCCGCCCTCGCGTTCCTCCTCGTCAATGTCCTCAAGGTGGTGGAGCCTGTCGCCATGTCCCGCGAGCTCTACCTCTCCTCCGTCGTCCCCATCGGCGCCCTCTACGCCCTCTCCCTCTGGCTCTCCAACTCGGCCTACATCTACCTCTCCGTCTCCTTCATCCAGATGCTCAAGGCCCTTATGCCCGTCGCCGTCTACTCCATCGGGGTCTTGCTGAAAAGAGAGACCTTCAAGTCCCAGACCATGATGAACATGGTGTCGATCTCGCTCGGCGTCGGCGTCGCCGCGTACGGCGAGGCCAAGTTCGACGGCTGGGGCGTGGCCCTCCAGCTCGGCGCCGTCGCCTTCGAGGCCACGCGGCTGGTCCTGATCCAGATCCTGCTCACCTCCAAGGGGATCCAGCTGAACCCCATCACGTCGCTGTACTACGTCGCCCCGTGCTGCCTCGTCTTCCTGCTCGTGCCGTGGGTCTTCGTGGAGTACCCGGTGCTCGCGGAGGCCTCCAGCTTCCGGCCCGACCTCGTGGTCTTCGGGACCAACTCGCTCTGCGCGTTCGCGCTCAACCTGGCCGTGTTCCTGCTCGTCGGGAAGACCTCGGCGCTGACGATGAACGTGGCGGGCGTGGTGAAGGACTGGCTGCTGATCGCCTTCTCGTGGTCGGTGATCAAGGACACGGTGACGCCGGTGAACCTGTTCGGGTACGGGCTCGCGTTCCTCGGGGTCGGGTACTACAACCACTCGAAGCTGCAGGGGCTAAAGGCGAAGGAGGCGCAGAAGAAGGCGGCGGCGCAGGCGGGCGAGGGGGAGGCCCTGAGGTTGCTGGAGCAGAGTGAAGGAGATGGGTCGATGGGAGAGAAGAGGGACAATCAAGCCTGAGATTGATTCCTCGAATACAAACGCGAATTGGGCAAATGGAGGAGGACTTTTGGGCAATGGAGTTGAATATTGAGTGCATGCAAGAATCAATTTGGGGGGGTGATTGCTCTCTCAACGTGCTCTTTGGGTGAATCTTGTTGATTAGGCAGAGAGTATGCAAATGCATTCTTGCAGTTTCTTGCTCTGCTTCTTCACACGCTGTTCATGAGGTTTCTTTCTTTTACTTTCAATTAGTAGTTAGTGCACTTGAAAGCCTTATTTACTAGAGGTGAAGAATCTCTTGTTGCTAGTCAATTTCCTCTATTGTTGCAAATTTTGGTCCTTTTTTGTGATCCTAAAACCTCCTCCTCACTTATGGAGATTTGTTCCTGATTTTGCCCTTGATCTTTTGTGCCATGTCCCGTGAAGGCCTTCTTTTGTTGACTGCTTTGTAGACACTAAAAGCAGGCTGTCACATTGAATAAAAATGGTGCCTTGGCTCTTTAATCTTGATTTAGGACACTAACAAAACACTGGGTCTGCTCAGCAATTTGTCTGACTTGGTGGCCTGTGAATTTCTGGAATTTGAAGAGGGGTTTATCTTCCAATTGTTTTACAAGCCATGAGATCCTTTCTTTCTTTTGACTGAAATGTGTGCATTGTGAAATTGGAAGTCCCAAAGGGCTTATCATAGAGGAGTTGAGGAGCGACAGGTGATAATGGTCGAAGCCAATGAAAATGCTCAGCACCGTTCCTCCATCACCCTCAGTAAAATGCAAGTTTGAAGTTGCAGAAGTAGCTGCAATGGACCCAGCAAACGACAATGGCAGCTGGAGGGTTTTTGTTACCTTCCCCAGCGAGGCTGTGCCGCTGCGATGCTCATTGTTGCTCGCAGGGGTTCACATTTGCTATGATTGCATGGGAAAGTGAAGTTCACCTGTCTTCTCTGGGTACAAGCTGTGTGCTGTTTCAGAGACAGCCTCTTAAATTGTGTCAGTGAGGTTAAAGAATTACTCTCTCAAAGTGAGTTTCGCGAAAGAATAGCCTCTCTGCCACCTAACATCGGAACCGTATGTGCAAACGAAGACGCGTTCCCGAGTACAATAACGAAGATGATGCAGACATTGTTGTCACTGACCGACCGTGTTGAATAATTTGTCTTAATCTGTGATTTATCATGGCACTGTTCAAATACATGAAAAGCAAGTGCAGAGTTTTGACCGTTTTGTCTCGATCTGTGTAATAAAACAATGTCTTAGCTCGGTGAAACTCCCAGGAAGTTCGTGCAGCGTGTGCGGTCAAAAAGGCTAAAAAGCATCTCCCCATGGTCATACACCTTAAGAAGATGCTTCTTCCGTCAAATGCTTCCCCTGTTTTGAGTTATGATCTTATATGTGGAGCAATCCACGAGAACAGCATCCCCCCTCTTTGTTCTTGGCCAAACCTTGCAAAGTCGTGCATTCTGTCCTCTTCATTCTTGGCCCGACCTTGCGGAATTGCAGAGAGCTAAAGAAAATTACCCTGATAAGAAGCATGATGTGGATCCCCACGGCACAACTGATTTCAAGCGAGCTCTTAGCATCAGACCCCGTAGCTCTGTCCTTGGCTCTCAGTCTGGGCGGCAAAGCTTAATTAAATTGTCTCGACAACGGTTCATGTGATGATCCAATTAATTCTTCTCGACGAGAGCAAGGACAAACCATAATTTATATTCCCTTTCCCACTTAGTGTGTCGGCAACACATCCCTACCTTAATTCTGAAAAGCTCAGCGTATGCTGTTTGATTTTGAAGATGAAGTTTCAGTTCTGGGGGCATCTCAATTTCCATGACTAATTTTGCAGATCCTGCTTACACGACCCTGGCTCAATCAGGCTATCTTTATGGTGTATTACCTTGTTATTCCAATCTGGCGCCCCCAATGTAAAACACATTGCTCCTCCCAGATGGCACTCGGTGTAGGGTTGTCACAATAATCGTAAGAGCAACAGTGCGCTCAAGATGAAAAACCAGGCTGCCAATTCCTATTTCTCAGTTCACAAATCTCACAAGGATCCTGAAGAGAAGAAATGCGGTGGCGGCCGCTGCAAGATTCTCCAGGTTTATCCAACACTCGGTAGTTAGTATACAAATAAAAGCAAATAGCACCTTGTCGAAACTCTGGTTCCTGCCGAAAATGAATGTTTCATGAAGGTCTCTGGTGAGAAAGAAAGCCAGCTCCATCCCATCTTATGCTCCAATCCATGTTGTTCTGCATTCAAACAAACGGATCACCTCAATTTTGGATCGGTCAATCGAGCACTCACAATAATACTGGTTGAAGTACCATTGACACTATGATCCCCACTTGAGGTTTCTGGCTAAGAACTTCCGAGTGAAGAACATTTGCGCCTTGCATAGGACATTCTCTCTCTACAAGTGAAACTTTTGAGTGGAGATAAAACATTGGATCCCAAGCAATGAAACATGATGTTTCACTTCGTGTGAGTCCCACAATGCAGGGCCATATCACCAAAAGTCTCCACATGAGCACAGGCCATCCTTGAAATGGTGAAATCTATTCCTGTCCCTCACAACTATTTCTCGATCATAAATTTTGGAGATGAATTTGGTAGCAGAGTGACAATCCTCACAAACTCGCAAATTCTTCACTATGCGGATTGAAGTTCCAGGTGGTGTCCTGAGAAGAGCAAATGCAATTGCCAACTTTTCGCTGTGCCTATTCACAGCATCTTCCTTATCCTCTTCATTAATATCAAGGAGCACCTCTGACGTAGATGGAAGATATCCAGCCTTCTTTATCTCCCTCCCCATCTCATCCAACATCTCATAGATTTCCTTATACTGATCATGCGACTTGTCGCCAGCCACAAATTCATAAATCTCATTCTCCAGTTCGATCAATGTACTTCCAGGAATCTTTCTCATTCCCTTGGTGTCCATCACCTCTCTGATCTTGGTTTTCTTTTCCCAATGCGACATTTTAGCATATATATTCGAGAGCAAAACATAATTTGACTCGTGCATGGGCTCTTTTCCAATTAACCTTTTGGTAATGTCCTCCCCAAGCTTGAGCTCACCATGTGCACGGCAAGCATTAATCAGGGTTCGCCAAATAACTGGGTTCGGTTCAAGGGGCATTTCCTCAACAAACTCTATGGCCTTTCGGATGAGACCAGCCCGACAGAGCAGATCTACCAAGCAACCATAGTGCTCTATCTTAGGTTCAATACCAAATCTCTTTGTCATCAAGTTGAAATAATCTCTGCCCTTCTCAACCAAGCCAGAGTGACTACAAGCCGAAAGCAAGCCAATGAAGGCAACATCGTCCGGTACCACCCCAGCTGCTATCATCTCATCAAAAAGAGAAACAGCCTCCACACCGCCGCCATGTACTGCAAGACCACCAATGACAGAAGTCCACGAAACAATTGTTTTGTTGCTCATACTTTGAAACAACCTTAATGCACTATCGACGTCGCCGCACTTGGCAAACATGTCAATAAGAGCATTGCACAGCTCCACGGTCTTTTGAACATTTTCTCTTGCAACATAGGACTCAACCCACCTCCCCAGCTCAAGGGCACCTAAATCCGCACAAGCCGACAACACCAAAAGCATAGTAATCTCATCAGGCTTGACCCCGGCAATCTGCATCTTCCTAAATAAGGCGACGGCATCCCCCGATTCGCCTAAACGTACATACCCACCGATCATGGCACTCCACGAAACAGAGTCCAGCTTCGTCATTCCATCGAACACCTTCCTTGCAAACTCGATCCCCCGTCCACAACAGCTGTACATGTGAACCATCGTGTTCTGCACATGAACATCCTCATCGAACCCGAACTTGACCACCGAGCCGTGAACCGACCTGCCCAAACTCAAGTCCCCAATGCCGGCACAGGCCTTAAGGACAAAAGGGTACGTGAACTTGTTCGGCGAAATGCCGGACCTAAGCATGAGATCGTAAAAAGCCAGGGCCTTTCGGCGTTGGCTCTGGGCACAAGCTCGGATGACGGTGTTGTAGAGGAATGTGTCGTAGAGGCGAGCGTCGGCGTCGGGCGCGAAGACGAAGGAGCAGGCGAAGTCGACGGCGCCGAGCTCCGCGGACGCGGAAGCGAACTTGGCGAGGACGAGCGGGTTGTTGCCGAGGCCCGATTTGATGATGTGGGTGTGGGCCTGGGCGAGCTTCGGGACGGCGTCGCAGAGCCGGAGGGAAGCTAGGCAGCTCTGCTCCGCCGCTCGCTTGTTCGCGACGGGGGTGCCGCCGCCGCAGCCGCCGCCGCCGCAGCCGCCGCCGCCGTCGATGGTGGGGACGCGACGGCGGGGAGACGGAGCGGCGAGGGATGCGGAGAGGGAGGTGAATCTGCGCGCGAGCTTGCCGGCTTTGGTGGCGAGTGAGGACTGCATCGGAAGAGTATGGTCGGAGGCGGGATCATTCCTCCGGAGCTTCGCCGTTCATCGGAGGTCGGCTCTCGCGGGAACGACGTTGCGCGCTTTTGAACTGAAGCATCGGGGATGCTTTAGAACATGCACACCAAGTCATTTACGCATGTTCGAGTTAATACCACGAAAAATCCTACTCTCGACATAAATTTATCACAAACTAATTCATAAACTGATACAGCTACGATAATTTTATCCTCCATTAATTTTTGTTAAATTTTTCCGTCAAATTGCCGAGTTGGATGTTATGATGTACCGATTTGGGGTTTTTACACTTCGTTTGTCATATGTATATAGTTTGTGATTTTTATAGTATTAATCCGATTTAACGAAAACTAACGGATAGTAAATTTATCACAAATTTTTCGGCTGTAAAAAAATTAGTTTGGAGTAAATTTGTTACGGACGTACCAATTTGAAATTTTTCAGGGTCATATCACATGTGTACCAGTTTGAGATTTTTTGTGATATTAATCATCATATATAATTCCTAATTAATTTATTAACTACTCCATTCTAGTCTAACGACGATAAAATTATAGTGCCAAGAAAAAAACGAATTGTGTAATTTCTATATATTCAATAATTCAGATTCCGTAAGGCATTCATACGATTTACAAGAAATAATAAGATATAGCAATATCAATTACAACCTCATCAAATCAATCAATGATATGCACAATCCGAAAAGATGTATTTGTATGAAAAATCAAGGGACATATTGAGAATCTAGTGAATATATCTCCGACGCATCTCATCAATTAAGTTTGAGAATCTTTCTTCCGTTGTTACTCATGCTTCATCGTACGCTTTTATACTTGCCGTTAAGTTTCAAACAATCCGTACGCTTATATCGCTAGTCAGCCCCACTCGGAAAAAATTGAAGAAAAAGTTATAAAAAACAAAAACTAGGCAAATTCAGAGTTAACAAATAAGTTTGAAATCATATTATACAAATTAAATGAAAGAAAATGTATATGATGATGTATACGATGATTCTTCGTAATTCTCATAAATTGGGGACATGTGCTAAAGATTTATCATGTTTTCCTAACACACGTCCCTTTCCCTCCCCTATAATTGTATATGATGATTTATCCCTCGTCGTTTCCATAAAAAAAAAAAAATTTATCCGAGTTTTATTGGTGAGAAAAAAAAGAATAATTTGCAGACAAAAAACCTAGGAAAATATCCGAAATTCTGAAAAATACTTTGTTTTCCTCCGTTTTTTTTTTTTTGGTTAAAATTTTTGGTCGGAAACTCGTTTCCTCGTAAACTCCGAAAGAGGTGCAGTCCGATTTGGTATCAGATTCCTCTCACCTCAGCAAACAGCGAAGCAGCCTCAGAACAAATATAAAAAGAGCAACTTTGCAAAACCCATTCGGACAGCAGCACAGCTCGAGGTCGAGGTCGAGGTCGAGGTCGAGGGAGAGGTCGAGGTCGAGGGAGAGAGAGAGGGACTCTTCCGGGTCCTCCTATCTCTCTCTCGCAGAACATTCCTTGATCCTCACCGCCTCCTCCTCTCCCCGCAGCTCCCGACCGCAGTCAGCATCTCTTCGCGCCGCTCGTATGCTCTGCTCCGACCCTTTCATCTGTTATCTATTTCAGTTTCGTTGTTCGTCTCTTTGGGGGTGGGTGAAGACTCCCAGATTTCTTTTTTGGGGGATACCCGTCTCGTCAAAATCCAGTCTTTGCCTCTTAAGCTCTTGAATTTTTGGCCACCTTTGCGTGAACCTTTGTCAAGAAGCTTGCTTCTGATATACCCTTTTTTCCGCGTCCGCAGGAGAGTTCTCAACTGTCTGAAATTAAGAGGGGTTGGTTATTTTTTCGAGAAGAATTCGATTGATGATCAAGGGTTCGATCATGGGTAGGAAGAATTTGCAGCTTTTTAGTGATAGGCAGGATGGGTTCTTCTCTATTAATAACTTGGGCTATCAGTGGAGTTCTGTCGATCCTGATGTGTGTCCTGTAGGCGGTTTATTTGCCAGTGTAGGCCAAATGGGGATGAATTTCGGTTTATCGCCGAATTCACCTAATACCCATGATAACGGGGGTGTGAATAGCATAAAACTGGCCTGCCCCGATTTGATTATTAGGTACGTGTCGTCTCCGGAGGGTATTCGGATTGTCGGGGTCCCGGAGGAGGAAGAAACTGTGAAGAATAAAAAGAGTGGGCTTAAATTGCAAATAAAGGTGAAAAACCCTTCGTTGAGGAGGTTAATAAGTGGGGCAGTGGCGGGGGCTGTTTCGCGGACTACGGTGGCACCATTGGAGACGATAAGGACACATCTGATGGTAGGAAACAGTGGGCATTCTACTACCGAGGTGTTCCAGAATATTATGAAGACTGATGGGTGGAAGGGATTGTTTAGGGGTAATTTGGTTAACGTTATTCGGGTTGCCCCCAGCAAGGCCATAGAGGTAATGTTGCTTTATTTACCTTTTGAAAGTTGTATTGGTTTCTTGTGACTTTTTTGTGTCTAATCGGTTGAAATTATGCATGCTGTCCTGCTTTGTTCATTAGTGCCCTCGATATTGGCTTTTTAGGAGATCTTCTTTGCGCGAATTTTCTGATGTCCGTTTATTTGTTTATCATCCAGTTAGTTCATTGCTCTCTTTTCTGGCCATGGTAGATACATGTACCGTGTATGGCTCTATTGCTTCATGTGGTTGTTTATTTCTGGTAGAGGTCAAGCATTGTTCTGCTCTGCTATCATTGATATTCCTGCAATGCCACTCAGCAATCTCTGTCTCTTTGTAGTCTCTCGATTTGATAGCACTGTTTCTTAAATGGAATATTGATGCCTTTGTAGAGCTGAGAATTGTCCATCTGTGTTTAACCAGGCCAACAGGACATAGTAAACCATAAGACATACTTTGCTTAGGATTTTCTTTCGACTTAAGCTAGATGAATCTAATGTATAGTTGGTTGCATGTTTGTGAAAAGTTTTATGACTTAATTGGTCTATTGAAAAACATTTTTTTTTTCCAAACTTTGTGCTCATCATGGTTGAGTACATGTCCAATATCACAATTAATCTCTCACTTTGTGCTTCATAGGATAATCTGTCAACCTTTCTTTTGCCTTATAAGCATTGCGTTCCTTGTGAGACAAGTTGAAATGTTTGTCTTTAATGGGAATGCATAAAATTTCTTCATGCTTACATGAATAGTGAGGAGGGATGGTCTTAGTGTCCTTTCCACTGAAAATACTTAGGTCACAGTGAAGGCTTGTAACCTTACTGATCTGGTTACAGTTCTTGACCTAACTTGTTCATGGCACTGTAAATGTATCACCTTTTTCTTAAGAATTAATTAGAAAGTTTATTCTGCATAGTTAGATTGGTTTTCGGTTTTCACATTTATCATGCAAATGTAACTGGAGTAATCATGATATCTTTTTTCCTTATCAAATGAAAGAGATGATATCCTTCATTTCCTTGGCAATTAATCTTCCACTTTAGGGATGATGCATTGTATTGTTAGTATCATCCGGTATTGATTAGTTTCTTGAAAGCCAACGATGATAATGTTTCCTCTTTCCAAAACACTCTATTTGGCCAGCTTGCACAATTGATGTCGCTATTATGTTGATTAGAGATTAGAGTGGAACCGATGCTTTTCTTTCTGTTTTTCTGTTTTCACTCATTTAGAGTGTAACCAATGTTTCCTGTCAGCTATAGTTGATCCATTGTTAAATATAACACCAAGTCCTATTCGACGGCAGAATATTTCTATGATAGACCTGAGCACTAGTACCTGTTGCTTTATGATTTATTAGATAACCTCCTAGGTTGGTTTTTTTGTCAAATGTTCAAATGCTACCAAATGCCTTCATGTCTCTCAAACTTGTGTTAGTCATGTGTATATAGAATGGTTGAGAAGCTGCTTGCTCTTTAAATGTATCATTTGGTGGATAATCTTGTTATGACTCCATCCCTTATTCCATTACGTTCCTAAGAGGGGAAATAAGGAGGAAAATGACCAAGAAGAGGGGGAAAAACAACTTCGAGAGTTGCTAACCACGATTCACTGAGCACCCTATGTTTAAGTTGACTAGGTTTCTTCATTTCGCTATGCAATCAAACATTTCAAACGCAGTGCTAGAGCACTTCCTCGCTAGGCATATTGTTGAGCATTGTAAGTGGGCAAAGACTAATGTCTTATCATTTTGTGTTTACAATTACTTATTGGTTCAATAAGCACATAATCTTCAACCGGGGAGGCAAGTCTTGAAACAAATTAATCTTCTTGCTTCCCTATCAGCCCATCATTAGTGCAGAGCTTTTTTAAATTGGCTAGCCTCTCATTTAATAGACCTAGGTTTCCTTTTCTCTTCATGCATTAAGACATATTGTGTCAGGGAATTCCTTTTGTACCCATAGGGATGTTCTTTGGTTACATGTACTTAGAAGGTTTCTATTCTTCCGGTGCAGCTATTTGCATATGATACGGTCAATAAGCAGCTGTCACCCAAACCCGGGGAGCAGCCGAAACTTCCAATTCCCGCGTCATTGGTTGCTGGGGCCTGTGCTGGTATCAGTTCGACGTTATGCACATACCCTCTCGAGCTACTCAAAACTCGTCTGACGATACAGGTACTGGCCAAAAGCTTGCTTGGTATTTAAAGTGCGCCTACTTGCATAAATTTATTTGTTCCTGCTAAAACTGCAGAGAGGGGTTTATGATGGTCTCTTTGATGCCTTCCTGAAAATAGTAAGAGAGGAGGGTCCAGCAGAGCTCTACAGAGGCCTCGGGCCTAGTGTCATCGGGGTCATCCCTTACGCTGCCACCAACTATTTTGCCTATGACTCATTGAGAAAAGCGTATAGGAAGGTTTTCAGGCAAGAGAAGATTGGAAACATTGAGACTCTCTTGATTGGATCTGCAGCAGGGGCTATTTCGAGCAGTGCGACTTTCCCATTGGAGGTGGTGCGTAAACACATGCAGGTCGGGGCATTGAGTGGGAGAAAGGTGTATAGGGATGTGATCCATGCTTTCATGAGCATACTTGAGCAGGAAGGAATCGGTGGCTTATATAGAGGGTTGGGCCCGAGCTGCATGAAGTTGGTGCCGGCTGCTGGGATATCATTCATGTGCTATGAAGCATGTAAGGGGATATTGGTGGAGGATGATGAGGATGCTTAGAAATAGATTGAGCAAGGAGCATGGAGTTTAGGTTTCCGGTTTTCTTGGCCAAGAGGAGCTGGTTTTGGGCCATCTCTTAGTTTGTTAACTGCAGGCATATATTTTTTGCATGTCGTCTTTATTGGTTTGCATCTTTTTCGTATAGGGAGGTCGCAATTGACGTGATTGTCACGATTTTTCAAGGTGAGTTATGATTTTCAATCTCTTTTCATTGTAGCGGCGATGGTGCATTGAATTTACATTGTGAGGTTCTTCTCAGTATAGGAGGAGATTGACTTAATGCCATAAAAATGGTATTATGCATTATCCTTGAAAACGTAGGGAAGTTTGAGATATGTTTAACGAGTGAAGCATCTATAATTCATATTATCAGGGCGGGGCGGGGCGGGGCGGGGCGGGGCGGGGCGGGGCAGTCCGGGGATCACAGTGCCCTTGCCAGCCCCGTGGATGGACGAACTGCCCTGTGCCCGTAGAGGCAGGGCAGGGTGGCGCTCATCGTTGCAGTGCAAAGTGGTGCCTGCCGCACCAGGCCAACGAAAGGCCAAATTTTCTTTTTTCGGCCGCTGGAGGCATTGAAAGAATGACTATGAGAATGTACTGATGCATGCACGACTGAAACAACTCGTAGCAAAGAGCCCTTGTTTTTTAGCTTATCAAATTTCAACAGGCTTTCAGAAGCCTGAACTCTGAGGCCTCGCAAGCGATGAAAAACGCAAGAGCCATGCAATTAGCACGATGAAAAATTCGTCTCCAATGTCTTGGAGAAAACAGCGAACAGACCATACTTTTCCTAGTTGAAATACAGACATCACAAGGTATTTAATTGAGCAAATCTCGTTGAAGGGCTATACAGAACTCCATGACTAGCGATTATTAAAATTTCAAGTCTTGAAACCCCCATTGCAGTACAAGCTGGAACGACAGATAACGAAAAGCACGGTTCCCCCTCCAAAATATATAACAGGAATTACTTCACTTCATTGCATGAACCTGACTGGTGGCACGGTATCTTTTATTTACATCACAAGAAGCGCGAAGTAGTCGGCTCTCACCAGCACCGTAAACAAAGGTTACTCCTGACTAGCAATTGATGCCGCATTGACCTTTTGCAGCAGCTTTCGTGGAGTCGGAGGTGAAGGGATCGATGCGCACCCAAAGCAGAGAGAAGATGGAAGCAAGCAGTAGCGACCACACGATCACAATGGTGGGGGTACGATTCTGCCGTCCCACCAGCCCCTTCAAGAATGGATACAGATGAGCAATAACCCATATGGCAAAGAAAAGCTTTCCGAAGAGGGGACCCCATGACTGATAGCCACTGTTAATGGCATATGAGACTCCGGCTACAATGCCCACCAAGTTTACTATGAGAACAGTGGTCGGGGGAATGAGAAGTGACGTCCATTTGAACACATAGAGCTCGGCGAAGTCCCCATCATCGTCTGACGCCTTTGAAGTAACAGTGAAGTTGGTATCGATGCCTGCGAGAACTTTCAAGAGCCCTTGAAACACGGCAAAAAGATGAGCTGACGTACCCCCGATGACCCAAAACTGTTCATTCCTCCACCAGTCATCGATGCTCACTCCGCTCCACCTGAGCTCAAGGATTCCAGTAGCAAAAATGGAGACGAAGAGGAGAATGAACCACATACTAGCAAAGTTGCTAATCTGCATAAACAAATTAGCAGATATATGTTACAGCAGCATAAAAATGAAACGGCATCAACGTTGGTGTTTTTAATGGCATGTACACCCATACTATTGCCCAAAGTCCTTGCCACATAAAGGGCTCCTTTGTTTAGTAAAAAAGCAATGTCTTCAACCGGTCATCAAACCAGTTTCCAGTTCATCCGGTTTCACCGGGCCGAGTCAACGTGATAACATCATTACTACAAAAGAAATAAAAACAAAAATCTGGAAGATTTAGAAAAAAAAAATCCAGAAAACATCCTGCATACTTAGCAAAATGCTGAACTTAATGTCTAAATGATAAAACACTTTAAAAACACAAAATCATGTTCACAGATAAGAAATTATAATGTCACATCTTACATGTGCACAGGAAAAAACTTCAATGGGGCTTCTTTGAGTAGCAAAATGCCTATGCCTAATAAGACAAATTCTAAATAAAGTCCAACAAAGGCCTCATGGAAGAGGGGGGAGCATTCATTTTTTGTATTTTCTCATGAAAGAGACAACGTGACCCTTGTTTTTTCTTTGAGCGGAGAAGAGGGTTTATTTCAGGTATGAAAATGTGGCTTTTACTTTTTTCTTTTTGGTGGACAATGGGCTGAAGATTTAGTTGGGATTTGAACCCATTGGGACCCAAAAAATCAAGCTTTTTACTAAAATCCCGGTCCAACCGTCCAAATCCGGGTAGTCCAGTTCTGGGTTTGACTGGGTTTTGACGCAAACAAGTCTGGGGGTTCAACTGGACCGGACTAAGGACTGGTTCCTGGGTTCAACCGCTGGTCTGGATTGGATTTAAAAACATTGGCAAAAAGTCATGAAAAAAAGTACGTGACTGTATGTGTTAACATTCGCATATAGTAAAAGTTTCAGGTGCTAGAAAATGTCAAAGTACTTCCATCGCAAGTTTTAGATCAAGCAAAAAAAAACGTAAAAAAGTCCATCCAGACACATCCTAAAACAGAAGAAGAAAAAGCTGAAACAATTGTACTTGCAATTGACGGGAGCCGCTTACCTCTGGGATGATAAATTTTCCGGTGAGAAGGCAAAATGCGGGAAGAATGCAATAAGCAATCAGAGGGATTGAAGTGAGGGGATAGACAATGGTATTTATATATGCCAATCTCTCCAACCACTTCAGTCTTCCATTGTAACCATACCATATAGGACAATGCCTGCTTAGTAAAATCTCAATGGACCCCAATGCCCATCGAAGAACTTGGTTCAGACGATCTGAAAGATTAATGGGAGCAGAACCCTTGAATGCTGGGCGGGCAGGCATGCAGTAAATGGAGATCCAACCTCGCGCGTGCATCTTAAACCCTGTTAAGATATCTTCTGTGACAGAACCATATATCCATCCAATCTGCCAGCAAATAAAATGTAAGTGCCCACAAGAAAGACATTGAGAATGGGGTTAGGATAATATAGATGCCATAGTGATTGCTATGTAACCAACCTCTTTGCCCCACTCAGTCTTGTCCTCATAGCCACAGCTGATAACATGAATTGCTTCCTTCAAAAGAGTTGCTGGATTAGTAGTTGGTGGAAGCCCTCCCTGTTCCATGAAAGTTGCTGCAATGAAGACTGGCGATTGACCAAAGCGTTTCTCTAAGCTTTTCTGGGACATAAGCAATGATCTCTCATCATCATAACCTGCAGGACAAAAGCAAGGCAGTTAGCCAAAATCAACATGGAAACTGTGTTAATTGACCTTCTCATCATTAAGCTACGAAGGCAACTATTCTGGAAACCCACAAGGGGGATACAAAGTGAGCTAGACCAAAAAAGTGTTAACCTTATTGATGAGTTGCATAGACAGAAAACTAGAAAGCAAACCACATCTCAGGCCTGGCACATATGGGTAGGTAGTGAATACCTAGGGGCCTGAGATAACTATAGAGAATTTGGTACATAGTCATAATAAGAATCAGAATACCACAAACTTAGGATGCCTTACTGAAAGAAAAATTACCTAGTTGACAGTATACTAACCTTGTCTCGTAACCAAACCTATCAGACTTTTCTTTCTGTTACTTGAAATGAAACAAACTGGGGAACTCTGTCTAAAAACTAAGAAGCACTGAATTTACTAGGGCTCTTACCTTCCATCCCCTCGTCAATATCCTCCATGTTGAATATTGGGATGTTGGATTCAGTTCTTTTGACAGCTCTCTTCTTGTCGATGTATTTCTTGTCACCACCCTTTCCTTTCTTTCTGGGACCACAACAGCTTTTAACAATAATATTTGGTTCCAAATCTGCCTCAGTCAATACTGGGTCATACCCATATAGGGCCTGCCTGTTGAAACAGCATCCAGTTCCCACATAGACAGGCCCTTGGATTCCATCAAGTCCTTTCAAGTTAATCTATATAAAATGGAAAGTTAGAAAGAGCATTTATAGTCGAGAATAACAGAACCTGACACAACCTACTTTCAAAATGAAGTTAACCTACATCAAAGAAGACAATATTCCGGTTAGCATATCGATCATGCAAGTCAATGCCATCAAAACGCTGTGGAAATTGGACATAGCACGTCTTCTTTCCGAGAACAGGATCCATCATAAAACACATTGCCTCTTTAAGGGCTTTGCTGTTGTTGAAGTAGTGATCACAATCAACATTCAAAAGATATGCTCCATTGGTAAGGACAGATGAAACACGAATCTGTTCAACAAAAATAATTATGAGTTGCAATGCTACAAATGCATAAAAGATAAAGAAACTCCGCGACTCTTTCGATTGCTTATATCACATGAGAAGAGTGATACCATCTATAGCTGCAAATATTTGCAGAATGACACTCCTCACACCAATAGAGCATCATAATAAAGAGGGATGGACTTATTTTAGACTTTTTTGTTTCCTATAATTCTTTTGGGAGTTTGGGAGCACGGCGACACAAATAATAAGGACTAAAAGGGAATAATGGATGTTGTAAACAAGTAAAAATGAAGTTCATAACATTCAGAATAAGCTAGATGATGATGACCAAGTAATATATGTGACTTTTGCAACTTTAAAAGCCATTCACATGATCTTTTCCTTTCCTGGCTATATTAGAAAGCTGTGTAAGTACTTGAAGAAAAATATACCAAGGCATTCATTGCCCCAGCCTTTTTGTGATGCTGAAAACCAGGCCGCTTTTCTCGAGAAACATAGACAAGTCTTGGTAACTCATTTCCATCTGTATCAAGCCCACCACTGTGACCCAAGAAAACCTGCATCACCAGTGAAAGGTTTAGAGAAGTCTCAGGGACTCTAAGGTTGCGTTCGGTTGTCCGGATCTCGATTAGGATAGGATAGGATAAAGTATCCAATTTTTTTTTTAGTAAACTGAGTCAAAGTGAGAAAGTATAAAATGAACCAATTTAAGCAATTCACTTAAAAAAAGGGGCAAAAATGAACCTCTAGAATTAATTTATCAATTCTCTATCAACCGTGTCGCTCTAACGCACACTACTTTCTCCTCTTCCTCTTCTATCGCACATGTAGGTGTGTGCTCGCT